CACATTTCTGGGTTCGGCCCACATTTCTGGGTTCGGCCCACATTTCTAGGTTCGGCCCACATTTCCGGGTTGTCAGAGGTGATGCATAACAAATGCGATCGTCAGCGGTAACGCATAATAGATGCGACGTATACGACGACGCGACATATTCATGTATTTTTCCACTTTATTAGACATATTTGGATTGATGTGACTTATAGGGCGGTGCGACGTGTACGGCGGAAAATACGGTAAATGTCATCGCCCGCAGTGGAGGGCAATGGCCAAGATTTTCGCTGAGTGTCTGTGATGCGTGGATGGATTTTTATGAACGTAAACCATTGGATGTGCCCCTGCAACTGATTAACTTTTGGCATCAACCTCATTTAAGCTAATCAAAATTAGCCCACACAAAAACGTCTATAAATTAATCAATTTTTCAGATATAGAGCTAAAGCTTGGCATGGTAGTAGCTGACAGTCATCTCCAACATATCAGCACAAACTGATCACATCTTGCAATACTGCACGGGAATGCGTCCAACGTCATTTACAAAACCACTATAACTGCGTTCAGTCTCAGCTTAAGATGATTTTTGTTTAAACCTCGGGCATGAAATGTGGTGGATGATATACATTCCTTTAAGGAAAGCTGGGCCTTTAGTAACTGCATGTAATTTGTAAACACGTCTGACATGTTCTGTGTTTAATCAAAAACACACTGAGGGCTTTTCTCCTAATGAGCAGTACTCGGGCCTCCCTGGTATTGTTTTCTGCTCTGAATGGCAAGTGGAGCAGAGAAGCCCTAATCAAAAAATAAATAAATAAAAAGGCGGCAACAGCTCAGATATTATGCTCGAGGCTACACTGTTAATTTCACTTCACTGCATCTGGCTGACTGGATACAAACGCCTCACAAGAGGTTTAAAGCTTCAGCTTTCAAACCTCAGGATGTCACCTTACTGGCCTGAGCAAACTAAGCTCTTGTTCTGCACCTTGCCCACTTTTTTCTTCTCAGTCTTTGACTCTCTTTCTCTTGCCGTTGCAGATCCGGCCTCTTACTTTTCAAGCTGTCAAGGAGCGAGATAAAGCAAAACACTTGACAAGCAGGTTTTGTGCTTCTGCACTTAGATGAGCGCACTCATCTCCTGCCAAGTTGACCGGGCCGGGAATGGAGTGCTGGGTAGTTTTATAAAGAGTGAAATGTGACGCAGGCTGCGTTGAAGGGTCAGCGAGGAACAAGTTGCAGGTTCAGGAAAAGGTTAAAGTATTGCACAAGTCAGCAGCAGCCTGAAGGGTGAAGCAATCACTTAAAAGTCTCTTAAAATGCTCTTCTGCGTACTCTCAGGTAATTCTAAATACATTATTCAACAAGGTTTGTCCAAATGAAAAGAAAAAATCTGACATTGCAAGGGAACACTGATGTTTGTTCTGAGCTAACTTTCCTTCAGTTAACTGTTTTTTTAAAAAGAATGATTCAAGATGTTCCTTGAAGGAATGCATATCACCCGCCAGCTTTCATGCCGGAGTTTTAAACCACCAAGATTATCTTAGGTTGAGAAAAGACAGCATCACAGCTGTTTTGGTCAAAAAATGTATCCCACGTCGTGATTTTGCAGTGTCTCATTAGAAGTGCTCAGCGTATGTTGTGAATGACCGTCGGCTACAAACGCAGCATATTTCAGTTAAATATCCGTAAAAGTATTTAAGTAATAGCCAAATCTGTGTTGCCAATGTCAATTAGCTGTGGAAGCCATCTTGATTTGGAGAAACTCCAAAAGTTATTTACTTGTAGATGTCAACCTAATGTTTACTTTCTGTCAGTTTCACTGAAATCCGTCCAGTGGTTCATGAGATATTTTGCTAAAAGACAAACAAGGTTAACCATAACAAGAAACATCTTTTTTTTTTTTTTTTAGCAAAGATGTTGTGCATCAAGGTGCACTCAGATTATGCGTTGAGGACAGGGATGCACGATGTTATCGGTATGGTTTCAGCCGATATTAGCGTTAAAGTTCAATATCAGACATCGGCCATTCCATTAAAATAACTCGCCGATTTAAAAAGCGCTGTTTTTGCCTGCAGCGGCAGCGCAACGCGATGACATCACGTGCACCTACCCGATCTCTCACAGCTGGGCGGAGAGGAAAATTAAAAATGTTGGCGGTGTGGAAGTTTTATTTTTCGTGGGTGAGGATGTCGGATTCTGAAGATTCATGGACTACGTTGAGCCTCGCTACATCGTCCCCAGTCGGAGATATTTTTCCGACGTAACGTTACCAGAGTTACAACCGTCATTTCTGACGTCATTAAGAAGCTAAGAGCTGATAGCAAGACTTGTTGGGTGAGTTTTACCAGACATTTGGACGTTGTGTTGGCCCCGTTAGCATCTTACGGTACAATGGAGAGACAAAAACTTTGAACTTAAAAAGTCTGTCCTTCATGCACAGGAGTGCAGAGGATCCCACTCTGCAGCTGAACCTGGAACAAGCCTCCACGAGTGAGACAGCATCGCAGGTGACTAATGCTAATAAATAACATTTAACACTTTTCATTTGATATAAGTTAAAGTGCTATGCATATCATATGGCTGTTACTGAATATATGTCACCAGCTCTTACAGCTGTTGCACAATTTTTGTAGCAAATAAGCCTAAATAAGAGAGATATGTTCTGAGAGGAATGTATATAAAATATCAGTATCGGCATCGGTTATCAGCCGAATTGCGGCACTTATTGCGCCGCTCCAGGTGGCTGCATGTTGGAGCAGCTCTGTTACTTTCATTCTGAGATTTTGCTTTTGGAAACTTTAATTCCTCTTTTTCTGGATGTAAATCACATTTTTTTTGGATGATTGTTTCCTCTGGAATCAGATGCTGTGCAGCTGGAAGGATTTTTACTGAAACTTTTTTAGTTTTGGACATTTGTTATGTGTAACCATGACAACAAGGCAGTTTTCTACAACCAACAGCTGCTGATTAACATCTCAAAAGCTCAAATAATATCTCAACTAAAGCCCAAAATCTCAAGTGAGTTGAAAAGGATGTTCTGTGGATGCATTCTCATCTACCTGCCAGCTGTGCTCGGGTGCCTGACCACTGAGATCCTGGAACTAGCAGGAAACACGGCTCATGACAGTGGAAGGACAGGATCGTCCCTCGGCACCTACAGTTGTCTGTCCGCGGCGACGAGGAGCTCGGCAGACTGCTGGGAGGAGTTCTGCCCAGCATTTTGGCGGTCCTACAGCCCGAGGGGAACCGAGAGGCCAGCCGAGTCTGGGTGGACAGATCGGATGGCATCTGCAGCCAGTTTCTTAGGATCCACTGTGGGATGGACCTTTACAAGAGATCCTTCCTGCCTACAGCCATCAGTATCTATAACATCTCTTAATGAAATGAGGATAACGAGCTACAACAAGAAATAATTTCCCTCTGGGACTAATAAAGTATTTCTGAATAAGTTTTAACATATCGGCCAAAAATCCAATATCGTGCATTCCTAGTTGAGGACAATGCTAGGCAACATCCACACCAAATGTGAGCTCAATATTTTTTAAACTGGCCAAGTTATAGTCATTTTTGTGATTTCCAAGGTCATTTACCTGTGGTGGCCGTCTTGAATTGAGATAAATATTGACGTTTATCGGTTGTACTCATCAACCTAATGATTACTTTCTACAAGTTTCATTAAAATCCATTCAGCGGTTCATGAAATAGTTTGAAAGATGTAAAGACAGACAACACACACAGGCAAAAACATTATCGCTCCCCCCAATGGTGGTAGGTGGTAAAAAAATAAATATGGACATGAATCTCCAAAAGGTTGTCTGGAAACCAAAGAGTAAGGACGGGAGTTTTGTTTTCAGGAGGATGAGTAACAATGCCAGTAAAAAGGAAACATTCCTCCGTTCACTTACGTAA